GTTTCTTCCGTTAAAGGGAGTTTTTCCTCCCCACTGTCGCCAAGTGCTTGCTCAAGGGGGATTTGTTGGGTTTTCCCTATGTAATAATATTGATAACAGTAAGAACTAGACCTTACTTTGTAGAGTGTCCTGAGATGACTTTTGTTGTGATTTGGCGCTATACAAATAAAATTCTACTATGCCTGACTTTCATTCCTCTTCTTTCCAGAGCAGGCCTCCACCTGCTCTCTGCTCTCACTACAGATCACAATGTCATCCGCAAACATCATTGTCCACGGAGATTCCTGTCTGACCTCATCTGTCAACCTGTCTGTCACCATAGCAAACAAGAAGGCACTCAAAGCCGATCCTTGATGTAGCCCCACCTCCACCTTGAACTCCTCTGTCTGACCTACAGCACATCTCACTACTGTCGTACTCCTCTCATACATATCCTGAACTACTCTGACGTACTTCTCTGCCACTCCTGACATCCTCATACAGTACCATAGCTCCTCTCTCGGCACTCTGTCGTACACTTTTTCTAAATCCACAAAGACACAATGCAGCTCCTTCTGACCATCTCTATACTTCTCCTCTGCACATCACCCTTGTTCTTAAAGATTGGCACTAGTACACTTCTCCTCCATTCCTCAGGCATTTTCTCACTCTCTAAAATCCTGTTGAACACACTAGATAGAAACTCCACTGCTGTCTTTCCTAGACACTTCCACATCTCCACAGGTATGTCATCTGGACCAACAGCCTTTCCATGCACAGGGTGATGCAAGATGGCGCCCACCGAGGCAGACATGTTTGTGCGTTCCACTCTTGAATGCCGGCCTTTTCTTTGTTTATTTGTGTGTTTTTTACTCTTTCTGCAGTGCACAAATGTCATGCACTGCTAAAATACAACAGTCAGGCATTGCTGGATATCGCCAACTGACACAGCCACTGGGAATTTACTGGTTTCATACCACCGGAGCTACAACTCATTGCCCGCTCCCGCGACAACAACAACGACAACCACAATCACCCTCAGGGAGCCCCCAGAGCACCAGGCACAAGCGAGCACGCTGAAATCAGGAGAGCAACCCGGAGAGTGGCGCAAATGAGGCAAGCAAGGAGGACTCCATGCTAGGCTAAAAGCTCGTGCTACCCGACCGCCACTACCCAGCCTCTTCCTAGCTAAAGTACAGGTCCTGGAAAATAAACTGGATGAACTAAGGGCTAGGATTACAACACCACGGGAAATAAGAGAATGTGCTCTAATTCTCACTGAGACTGGGCTTTCTGACAAAGTCCCAGATTCCGTGATTCAGCTAGAAACTCACTCTGTACATCGGGGAGACCGCACTGCTGCTTCGGGGAAGGTAAAAGGAGGCGGTGTGTGTTTATCAATAATTCATGGTGTGGAGATGTACAGACTGTTCATAAGCACTGTTCGCCAGACGTAGAGTTTTTATTGCTGAAATGCTGGCCCTATTATCTAGCCAGAGAGCATAGTGCTGTGTTTTCTCTGATCCCAGTGCTGTAAGACCTAGTACCTGTGCTCAGACCTCCAGTAAATTTCCTGTTGATTTTAAACAGTCCTCTCCTGTCTTCACTTTTCACGCTTTCAATAAATGAATTTGGGTAGAATCTAATAACTGTACTCCCCAAATATTACCAAGATGTGAAAATTCCCACTCGGGGGCAAGAACACTCTGGATCATGTTTACAAGTAACATACGAAGTGCATACAGGGCCGCACCCTGCCCCCGCCTTGGACGCTCAGACCACATTTCTTTGTTCCTGTATCCAGCTTACAGACAAAGACTGAAACAAACAAACCCTGTCACCAAACAAATTAAACTCTGGACCCCAGAGACTGAAGGCATCCTGCAGGACTGTTTCGCCCACACAGACTGGGACGTGTATAAAGCTGCAGCCACCTCGGAGGACTTTTCTGTCAGCGTACAGGATTATGCTGAGTATGTGACCGTGTACATTAGTACCTGTATTGACAACATTGTGCCCACCATACAAGTCAGGAGGTTCCCAACCAGAAGCGCTGGATAAACAGTCAGGTATGCCACATGCTGCGTGCTCGCTCTCATGTATTCAGATCAGGCAATGAGACGGAGTACAAAGCTGCGAAATACAGACTGAGGAAAGCCATCACAGCGGCCAACAGGCAGTACAGAGAGAAGCTGAATAGCTTCCATTCTACTGCTGACTCCGGACGGATGTGGCAAGGCCTGCAGCACATCACAGACTACAGGACCACCACCACCAGCATCATCAGCTCCACAGACAGCCTGCCGGATGACCTCAACACCTTCT